AGCGAAAGTCTGGCATAGCCACCTGCGAAGCACTATCGGCCGCAAGGTTGTCAACGCCTATCAGCCACTTCAACTGGGGGGCAGGCCGGGCATGCATGTTGGTTATGCACTAGCTGCCTTTCGCGTCGCGGCTGGCCTTGCCGCCCAGGCCAGCAGGTCACATATCGCTCTGTTTGTCGATGTGCAGGCAGCCTTCTACGAGGTTGACCGCGAGCTTCTTTTTGGAGAATCCTCTGGAGCAGCGAGAGCGGAAGCTGTGCTACCGTGGGTGCAGGACCTCCTAGATAGGGGGGCCCTACAGGTCCTGGGACTTGATGAGGCTGAAATAGCCATGCTCCAGGATTGTGTTCGCGGCTCTAGCTGGCTCTTGCAGGGAGACCGCCTCCCTGTGCTTGCCGCCCGCGGCAGCCGCCCTGGCGACGGACTTGCTGATGTGTTGTTCGGTGCGGTAATGACCTGCATCATTGCCAAAGTCAACCAAGAACTCGCGTTGGCTGGGATCGCACATCATTCCATTGCAATTGCGTGCGCCGACGAGCAAGCTGAACCTTGTGCGATAGCCTGGGCTGATGACCTTGTCCTCCTGGCGGATGTGGACCACGCAGGGGATGTCCCCGAGACAGTGATGCGCATGGGCAACGTTGTCTTTCAGATCTTCCGGGCCTTCCGCCTGCGGGTCAACACCGGCCCCGGTAAGACAGAGTTCCTCATCGACCCGCGGGGTGCAGGGGCCGACGGGGTGAGGGGGGACATGCTGCAAGGCACTGCCAGCATCCCTATCCTAGACGAGCATGTCCGCATCGCCTCTGAATACAAATACTTGGGAGTGCCTCAGCTACCACGCGACAATGGCCGGCGCGACATTGAGAATGCAGTCAGCCGGGGGCGAGCAGCGGAGCTCTCTCCTCGCAAGGTCTCGGTTGCCCTGGCCAGTCCGTGAAGGTTGGGTGTCAGGTCGAATCCTCCCTGCAGCTTATGCCACCCTGGCCACCTCGCTGGCGCCAGGACCACGCAGTCTCAAGCCACTATAATAGAGGGACTGCTTGACCGCATTCGCAGGAAGATTTGGCAGTCATGGCAGGAGGGGCATCACGCCGCCAACTGCGCCCTTGAGGTCCTCATGCCCTTGCAGTCCCCACGAGAAGCCCTCTTGGTCGCTCGCTGCAGGCTTCTCATCCAGCTTTGCTGCCATGCACCTTCGCGTGTCTGGGACCTGTTCGAGGCCGCCTATTATCGCGACGCTGCCTGGCCTCAAAGTCTACTGGCTTCTGCTCGGGTCGTCTGGGCAGCAGCTGGCCTATCCGGGGATGTTGCTTCTGCGCTACGCCGTCAGGTGCAAACCAACGCTGCCACTCTGCTGCGCACATGCCGGCGCTTGAGCCGCTTCGGCACGCTCCTACGAGCATGCCACGATCACTGGCGGCAAGCGCTCCCTGCGACTCCTCTTGAAGCCGACCGCCTGCCAGCCCCGGCTCCTGTGTCCTTCCCCTGTCGAGTGTGCCACCACCAAAGCAAAACAAAGCATGCCTTGGCGGTACACTTGCATCGCTCCCATGGTGTGGTTTCGCACAGCATGCAGTATATTGTCGACACCACTTGCAGGTGGTGCCTCAAAGACTTTCACTCCACCACCCGGCTTCGATACCATATTGAGCACGCCTCGATGTGCAGATATGGGTTGCAGCACGTTGTGGGGCCTATCTACCAGGCCGGCGTTGCCACCAAACGGAAGGGTGCGCTAGGTCACTTGCGCGTTCCTCCACTACAAACACAGGGCCCCAGGCTGCCCACCCCTGCTGAGCGGCGAGCGTCCGAGCGTGACGCATATGCTACTGCAGACGACTTGAGGCAGGAAAGGGAGGACTGGGAGGCGGCCGAGCGCCAGCAGGCGGCCCAGAACCGGCTTGGGCCAGCTGCTCTTGAGGTGCACCAACGGGCTGCTTCCGACCACATCCCACCCCTGCTGCCGAGAGACCCTGCCGCCGGGGGGCCAAGTGGGGGTGCCCACTCTGTCCACACTGCTACCGGGGACAGCCCAGATAGGTGGTCTGTCTGGAGAACTTTAGTGGAGGACGTCACTGCGCCGTCCCCCCTATGGTCTGGCTTGGAAAGGGACTGCTTGTGGCATATCCGGCTGGATTGGTGTCCGTACTGGCATATTTGGGCATGCTGCGCGCACACTGCTTGGCAAACTCGAGCCTTCTGGGATGCTGCCCGCTCCTTGCGGATGGAAGTCTTGGGACCGGGGCCTGTCCTTATCTCTGAGAAGATACGCAGCCACGGCAAGCGTGATGAGTGCACCTCAGCCAGACAGGCATATCTTCGGCACACGAACTCCCTCATGCGCTTGACCGAGTGCATTGGTGATAGGGGCGCCCTGTGGTGGGCCGGTGACCTCACGCAGGCTGTACGTACTGTCATGAACGCCGTTGCCTCTGGCCTGTCGCTTCTCGCCGTCATGGTTGCGGGGAAGAAGTATGTGCTGGTGTCCAGACGGCAG